TCTGCATAAGGCTAAGCCCTGCCTCCATTTTGCATAATGTTAAGCACTGCCTTCCATTTGCATGGGACTAAGCCCTGTCCCGAATCTTGCATGAGACTAAGCTCTGTCTTCATCTGCATGAGGCTAAGCCCTGCCTCCATATCTGCATAAGGCTAAGCTCTGCCTTTCATTTGCATGTGACTAAGCCCTGTCCCGAATCTTGCATGAGACTAAGCCCCGCCTCCATATCTGCAGGCTAAGCTCTGCCTTCCATTTGCATGAGACTAAGCCCTGTCCTGAATCTTGCATGAGATTAAGCTTTGTCTCCATCTGCATAAGGCTAAGCCCTGCCTCCATTTTGCATAATGTTAAGCACTGCCTTCCATTTGCATGGGACTAAGCCCTGTCCCGAATCTTGCATGAGACTAAGCTCTGTCTCCATCTGCATGAGGCTAAGCCCTGCCTCCATATCTGCATGAGGCTAAGCCCTGCCTCCATTTTGCATAAGGCTAAGCACTGCCTTCCATTTGCATGGGACTAAGCCCTGTCCCGAATCTTGCATGAGACTAAGCTCTGTCTCCATCTGCATGAGGCTAAGCCCTGCCTCCAAATCTGCATGAGGCTAAGCCCTGCCTCCATTTTGCATAAGGCTAAGCACTGCCTTCTCTTTGCATGAGACTAAGCTCTGTCTCTATCTCGCATGAGGCTAAGCCCTGCCTCCATTTTGCATAAGGCTAAGCATTGCCTTCCATTTGCGTGGAACTATGCCCTGTCCCGATTCTTGCATAAGACTAAGCTCTGTCTCCATCTGCATGAGGCTAAGCCCTGCCTCCATATCTCCATAAGGCTAAGCTCTGCCTTCCATTTGCATGGGACTAGTCCCTATCCCGAATCTTGCATGAGACTAAGCTCTGTCTCCATATGCATGAGGCTAAGTCCTGCCTCCATTTTACATAAGGCTAAGCACTGCCTTCCATTTGCATGGGACTCAGCCCTGTCCCAAATCTTGCGTGAGACTAAGATCTATCTCCATCTGCATGAGGCTAAGCTCTGCCTCCATATCTGCATAAGGCTAAGCTCTGCCTTTCATTCGCATGGGATTAAGCCCTGCCCCGAATCTTGAAAGAGGCTAAGCCCTGCCTCCATATCTGCTTGAGGATAAGCCATGCCTCCATTTGCATATGGCTAAGCACTGCCTTCCATTTGCATGGGACTAAGCCCTGTCCCGAATCTTGCATGAGACTAAGCTCTGTCTCCATCTGCATGAGGCTAAGCCCTGCCTCCAAATCTGCATGAGGCTAAGCCCTGCCTCCACATCTGCATAAGGTTAAGCTCTGCCTTCCATTTGCATGGGACTAAGCCCTGTCTTGAATCTTGCATGAGACTAAGCTCTGTCTCCATCTGCATGAGGCTAAGCTCTGCCTCCATATCTTCATAAGGCTAAGCTCTGCCTTCCAGTTGCAGGGGACTAAGCCCTGTCCCGAATCTTGCATGAGGCTAAGCTCTACGTCCTATTTGCATAACGCCAATCATTGCCTTTATTTGCCGAGACTAAGCACTGTCTCTCCGGCACTATCTATTTGCTCCTTTTTTGGGCTAAGCTCTACCCTCAGCCTCACAAGACTAAGCCTTGTCTTGTTGATTTTAGCATCATATTATTGCATCTCATGGGTTGAAATATCGCCAATTTGTCCAAAGGCGTCATTGTCTAAAGGCATCATCCTCATAGCCAGAAGACACCATGCCATGGCCTGAGGATCTCTCAAATTTGCATATCATTATTCAAAGGCATCATGGTTCGGAGGCACCATTTTCATGGCCCGAGAACATCATTTCATGGCCTGCGAATCCCCCACCGAACAATTCATGGTCTAAGGACGTCATCCTCAACCGTCCAAAGACAATCTTTCATGGGCTAAAGGAAATTTGCATCATCTATATACTCGCATGCATTGTGTTTTAAGTTTTGCAGGTAATCCAGGAGGTAATCGTTCTTCGTACAGGAGCACCCTTCGCTCCAGTTTCCGCTCATACCATTTTTACTTTGCCAATATAACTGATTTCCATCAATTACCCACCTTACTCTGTGATATTCATCTATCTGCCCTATAATGCATCCGTTACACTCCAGACTCACAACCATAACTCCGTCGGACATTACCCTTCGCAAAAGAACCCTTGCTGAAACTGGCTACCACTCCTATAACAACTCCATCGGCTTCATTCTCCGGTGGGTCCGGAACTACACATGGCCTAATTCCTGTAAAACCAGGGATATGTAGGAAACTCAGAGACCAGAGCTCAGCCTCCATTTTTTCAAAACACCCACTCGGTCAAAATCGGTCATCATTTCTTTACCCGAGAACTCTTTCATCCTTCCCGGGTAAAGATAGGCAGCTGTTGATACCCAATTTTTCCCTCATATATTTTTAAAATGCGCATGCATACTTTAAAAATTTGTGCTTACAACTACAAACATGCACAAGTGTTTTACAATTTGTTCTACAAATTTTTAAAGGGCCTAAATCCATTTATTTCTGCATTTTTTAATTACATAAATGTTCAAAACTATCCCTTATATTATTTTATGATGATTTAATTATCTAAATTCATCATTTATATTTATATGAGTGTTCAAATATTTTAACTGTATTTTTTATAATTACATTTGCATGTTTAAGACTATAATTGCATATTTTGCAAAAAATAGCCCCTACATATGATTAACTACATTATCTATACAGAAAATGACATTTCATATTTTTATAATATTGAGTAATTATTTTAGATCACCTTCATGCTTGAAAATTATTTTTTATCATTTAATTAGCTATTTTTAAAATTATTTTATTTAGTAAAATGGGTATTTAAATAATAGCCCCTAATTTTACACCCAAAATCGGACCCTCCCATATTCAATTTAATTGACCCAAGCCCAATTCAAACGACCCTAACCCAATTAAATCCAACCCGCCCCGACCCCAGGATCAATCGCGACCGTTGATCTCTAAGATCAACGGTCTGTATCATTCCTTTCCTTTTTTAATTCCCAAATACCCCTAACCCTAATTCATTTACACAAAACAACCGCCCTAAAACTCTTCTCCTCTCCGTCTCTCTCTGAGACCCAACCCTAACCCTAGCCGCCGCCGCCCAAAACCAGCCCTAATCCCTCTGATTCTCACTCGATCCATGGATTTCCATGGGTGTTTGAGACCCCTACTGGCCTCCTACTTCCCCCGGTTGCTCAATTTTGTGATTTCATGGAAAGATCTCGAAGAGATCTAGTCCAGATCTTGTTCAAAACTCTCTAAGAGTCTGTCTATGGTCTGTGAGTGCTTTCTATCGATGTTTTATGGCTCAAATCTCTGATTCAAGACCAGATTCTCTTTACCCTTTCCTTTTCTTCAAAACCCTAATGTTTGGACTTGAATATGTCCAGATCCTTGTAGATCTGTAGCGATTCTGAGTAGCGATTCTGAGTTCATCATTGATTTTTCCTTAAGGTTCCCTTATTTCTTTACTGATTAGTCGCTTTTTTAAGCACTTTATTATATTAGGGTTTGGTTTTCTCATTATTTGTTGGTCGAGCCTCTGTGTTTGAAGTTGTTTCGAGTTTCCATGACTGTTTCCATGACTGTTTCTTTGAGATTCTCCTGATCTTCCTACTATTAATCAACCCTAAGTATTTTTTTAAAAAAAAATTAGGGTTTCCACTTCTATTTTTGCAAAAGGATTTCTGAGATTCTTATGTTTTGTCTAATCTTTCTGGCATGGCTATGTTTCTTGTTCGATTGCTTGGTTGTTCATTATTTAACTTCAACATTTTCGCCCGTTATTGTTTGAATAATTGATTGATTAACTAAATTATCTAGGGTTTCATCGTTTGCAGAAACAATTTACTAATTTCTGCTCACTTTCCTTAATCCAGAGGTTCCTAATTAGCATCTCTTGCCTATTTATGGGTTGATTGACCCTTGATTGATCTCTAATTACCTATGATTGCCTTATTCGTGTGATTGATTGCTTGATTTATGGGCTCTAACCCTAATTGGCTGTCAAACTCACTTCTTGCCTTATTTGAAACTCATTCCGAGTTATTTATGGGTATAATCCCCTGATTTTCTGTCCTGTCAAGCTTAATTGATTATTTGATTGCTTCCCTTACCTTATTTACAATATTAAGCTACCTTGCCTTATTTACTTTACACTACTCGACTCTTATAAATACATGATTCTATCTTCAAACACACACACACAGACCTAATGGAAAATACTTAAAAATTCTTGCTATCTCTCTATTGCAAACTGCTGTTACTTGTCTACTGCACTATCTATTCGGCTGGAAGCCAATGATTAGATCTTGGATCCTCTTTACTTCACTCTTTTATTGCAAATTTCCAACTAGTATGCCTCTATTACTGTCATTCAGTTAATCTGTGTGTTTGTTAGCATGTTTATTTCTGTTTAAATCCATATGTTTGTCAGTATATTTACTTTTGTTTAAATCCATGTGTTTATCAGCTTGTTTACTTCTGTTTAAACCCATATGTTTACCAGCATTTTTACTTCTGTTTAATCCATGTACATGGCTGCTTTTGTCTAATCTGCGTGGTTATTTCGGTTCAATCTGTATGTTCAATAGCATGTCTGACTATGTGTTTCCTAGCATGTCTATTAATGTTCAATCTATCTGTTTACTGCACTAGCATGCCTACTGCTCCCCAATACACGAGTTTACTGCAATAGCATGTTTACTTCTGTTTTTAATTAGAACTATGTGTTTCTACTTTTAGCAAATTTGCATGTTTGCTCATATCTAAATTAGATCTGTGTTTTGTCTACTTCTTTACTAGCATGTTCTCCCTATCTAGATGTTCACCTTTCATAACTTTGCTCCCCAATCCCTACTGCCCCTTTGTATATGATCGTTTGATCCTCAGCATGCCTTGTTTTTGTGTTTGATCACTTAGTAATAGCCAACTTAAGTAATCCATGTTTCTGTACACTATTTGACTGCTAGGACCTCTATTTGAGTTACAATGATTGAATGACCATGTTTGCTCTTTATTTCCTGGGAGTCTAAAACTATTTTCTCAAAACTACTCTTGTAAATCACTATCCACTTCAAAAATTTTAGAACATCTAGGTTCCTGCCCCTCTAGTGTGAGCATTGCTTTGGAATCCATGAGACCCCTCTGAACTTTGACACACTGGGGCTGGCTACTCCACACTGCACAAGCTGTTGATCTTTAAAGGGGGCCTTGGTGTGAGCACTGCCCTGGGTCCTTGAGGCCTTTGGAAACTTTAACACACTAAGACACCCTCCTTGGCACTATGAGATGTGGCATTTGAGACTGTTTGAAGGCCTGGTTCCCCAGGTTTTACTTTGGGCCTATCCAGGCTCCCTATAGTATACTATTATCATTCCTGTAATTTATTTAGATTTGGCTTGTAATATTAATTTCTTTGTAAATAGATATTGGGGAAATTAGTAAAACTGGGAGGGATTATTATACATATTTTGTTGGGAAGGGGTAGATATCATGTCTATAGGTTCTAAAATCAATGTTTACATCCTAGAAACCATGCCTATAGGACATCGCAATGTTCATCACTTGTGTGCATTCTAGATATCATGTCTATAGGATTCAAATCAACTTCTACAATCAGAAATCATATCATTGTGTTGTTTGTCTGTTTGCATGCATTCTAGATACCATGCCTATAGGTTTTGAAATTAATCTTGCACTTTTAGATATCATGTCTATAGGTTAAAAAATTAATTCCTGCATTTAAGCCATGTTAAATAGGTTTAGCGTATTCAACATTTAGAAACCATACTTATAGGGTAAAATCATTCTTGCATTCTGGAAATTTTGCTTGTAAGTCTAAAATCAGTCTTTGAATGCCAATGAGGTTTTTAAAACTAACCACTGCGTTTAGCTACCATTGTCTAAAATCAGTCCTCACATCTAGACAGCATTCCTATAGGATCTAATGAACCAAACTGCTTGTTTAAAATGGTTTTACTAGTTTATTGTACTTCCGATTAATAAGATACCATGTTCATAGGACATCATTGCAAGCCTGTAGGGCGATTAAAATCCTGCGACTGTAAAACTACGCTTTTGTTATTTGTGAACTGCCCAGATTCAACAGGTTTTAAAATCAGTAGGCAAACTGATTAGGTCTTTATCGCCTCGCATTAACGCAATGCTTCATATTCCGTTAGTCATTCTCACCTAGATATTCTGCTCTAGGATCCCTAGAGATATCTGAAATCCTGTTATTTGAGACGTGCTCTTATCTGCTTATGTGAGTAGGTAAAAGTGAGCCTTTAATTGCCTTTATGTGAATGTCTTAATTGTTCTTGCTTGTCGCCTAGATTTTTCTCCTTTAAGTACCTTAGGAAAGTCTAGAACTGCCTAAATTAGAGGTCGTAAATACCTCCAGGGCCATAAGGAAGGGACGGGTAATGCACGCATAGAGTTCGTTTAATTAAAAGCGAGTTATATAACCACTAAGAGGAGGGACCACTTTTTGTTTCGTCCAATTTTATCATTCAAGCTCTCATCATAAAACTGCAACAAGAATTCTTCATGCGAGACTTAGGGCTCATTAAAAAAACCCCTCTAGTTGAGGAAGGTTTATCGAGTATTGTACAGATGTGATCCTGTAGGCTAAAAACCTAGGACCCCATTTACCCCTTTGTTTTTAAATATAATACCAATTTGTCTAATTTGCTTTATCTGTTTACAAGACTAATTCACATAATTTGAGTTTGGCCGGGACCCACCATTGTGGACCGCGAGGGGTGCCTAACACCTTCCCCTCAAGGTTATTTTGAGCCCTTACCCAAATCTCTGGTAATGCAAATCGGTTTTCTGAGTCGCTTGCTTTAGGTGCCCTAACGCACCATAAATCCGTTAGGTAGAGACTCTTCAAATTCCATACCCAATTCCCAAAAGGAAAAGGAGTTGTCCCAAAATGTCGAAACCCGGACTCCGCGAAGAAAAAGGGGGCGCGACTGCAGTCCTTGCACAAGCCTCTGTGAGACTTCCTCAGGAGGAGATAGTCAATCTGAGTCTTTGCTACCGCATTTTGAAAAGTAACCAAATGCTCCTTCCTCTTCGGAAAGCTAGAATTCGCAATCACCAACCCAAAATCCCTAGGGAAGTCCAACAGCGAGGTACCTCCCTTGTTCCTCTCCCTAAAACCAAAGCCTCCATGCACCTCGCCATAACCACCTGGTCGCCCAATATGACCATTGAAATGCCCTCCATTGAATAGCTTCTCAATAGGCGGAACCTAGCGCACAATCTCATCTAACCCCTCTCAGAAGCGCTGTTTAACCTCCTCATCTAGGCCCGCATGCGGCGCATAGGCGCTAACGACGTTTAGGGTGTACTCTTCGACCACCAACTTAATAACCATTAATCTATCATTCACTTGTCTAACCTCAACCACAGACTCTCTAAGTTCCCTATCTACCAAGATACCCACTCCATTCTTACCTCTCTGGACTCTTGAGTACCAAAGTTTATACCCGTCCGCATCCTTCGACCTCGACCCTACCCGCCTTGTCTCCTGGACACACACTATATTAACCCTCCTCTTCTGGAGAATCTTCGCCAACTCTATAGACTTACCCGTCAATGTACCTACGTTCCATGACCCGATTCTTAACCTATAGACACCCATGTTCCCTTTACCTCCCTTGCCTCCCGACCCACCCCCTAACCACTGCTCTACCTCCTGCCCGACCCCCCGCTCCCCCCGAGGACATGACCTCACTCTACCATCCCAGACCACAGCCACTATACCTACGACAGACTAAGGGGAATCACTAACACACACAAGGTAACAAACGAAGCTAGACAAAGATAGGATGCAACTATAGGAGCAATAATATGGTGAATAAACTAATACAAACTAAGATTGCAACAATTTAACTAACAAAACAAAGGGGAAAGAAAAACGGGAGGTACCAACTCTCGCGAGTAGAACCTGGGAAAATTCTTGGTATATAGGACAATGTTGTGTCCACCTAGCACATTCGCGTCCAACTTCTGCCGCCCCTTGCTGACCCTCGCAGAGATTGTTCCTTAATGTTTGCACACGCACGTCCCGCTCACCGCTAATAGCCACAGGCCCTTACCTGAAATACACACAAAACACCACGAATACAAACTAAAGGAGGGAGGGTTGTCACCGCTACCACTGGTGAGGCCCCACCCGTAGAAAAGGAGCGCAAAAAGGATCAAATAAAACCTCAAAATTGATTTTAAAAAATAAATAAATAAACAGTCAAAGGAAATTGAACAAATTATTAAATTAACTAAAAGATAGGTATAGGTAATTTTCAACTGACCGGATCAATTTATTTAACAAAAATAGAGATTAAACAAATTCACGAAAGGTAAAAAAAATTGACGAGAAAATCAGATCTGTGCTCAGATCAGATCGAAACTAACAGCTCTGAAACATATAATCAGATATGTACAACATACATAAAGGAAGGCAAGATAAGAAAGAAAATTGAAAGAAGAAAACTGGAAATAGAGAAAATTATACCTTGAAAAGGCTGTTGGGAATCAAACGAGAAGATCTCGTCAATTTTATACAATGAAAATTAAAAGAATAGTACAAGATAAGATCTAGTAGAAACAAATCAAAATCGAGGGAACAGATCTATGCCACTAAAACAAAAACAAAACAAGCTTTAAGATCCGATCAATTTTCCGGCGTAACCAGTAACGAGAAAATGGCCGAAAAAGGTGGGATTTGTGAGTGAGGTGTAACTCACCGGAAAATTCTTTAAAGAAAGAACCAATTACCTTTTTTAATCTTTGAAGATGGTTGAGCTCCTTGGGGGATTAGGGGTAGGGGTGTGAAGCGTTTCTTGTGGTTTTTCAGAAGGGAGCAAACTGCAGATAGATGGTTGTCAACTATGAACAAGGAGGGCCGGTGTTATATCTATTGAGTTTCAAACCGTGTGCAATTCAGAAGCTTTGAGTTTAAAAATTAAATTTTATAAAATTATTATTTGTGTTTCAGTTCTTTTTTTTAATATCCCGTATTAGGCTTCAGTCAGTACTTGTTGTTTTCTTTGGCTTATCCGACTTGCTTGTCGTATTTGAATCTTTAGGTAGATTATTTGCTCTAGTACTTGCTTGCTTTAATGCACTCGTATTAGCGTCTTTGTGTTGTGTGTGTGTGTGTTTTAGTTTTTCATATTCTTAGTTTGTCATGTTATCCCTTATCTTTGTTTTATTTGACACATTCACTTACATCACCTACCCGCATTCCTGTATTTGATTACAATTAGTGCCTTAAGTGGTAGATTATTTTCTCTTCGTAGTTTACCTTGTTGCGTGTTGTAGTGGTACTAGCAGTATCCCTTGATTAGAGTTATCACACCTCCTTTTTTCCGAGGGGATAGAGAGTTTTTTCAATTAAAGTGACATTAATCAAAATGGAATTATTTATTTATTCAGAGTCGCCACGTGAAATAATTTATGGTGCGGTGTCCCAAGTCACCGGTTTATTTTAAATCCCAAATCGAGGAAATTTAACTATGTTTTAAAGTATGCGAAACGATAAGACCGGGTAAGGAATTCTGTTAACATGGGAGAAGGTGTGAGGCACTCCCGAGTTTCGTGGTTTTACGAACGCTCAACTATTAATAATTGGCCTAATTATTTGATTTATTACACATTTAAAAACCTATTGTGCTTTTTACCTTCTAACCGCTTTAATTAATCAATTAACCATTAAGTATTGATGGAATTTATTTAAATAAGTCGCGATCTCGCGCACTTATTGTGTTTGTACACATTGCGAATCGCGTCACGTTAAACGCACCCGCGGTTTACAACATGTTTATTTTAATTAGTATTGATTTGAAGTTATGGTCGAGTCATGTGAAATACACACGTGAATTGGAATTATTTATCGTGACCATGCCACGGGAAACGTACCCATAGCCACGATGATTATTCTAAATGCGCCTAAAGCAAACTACGAGGTTCATCCGTTATTCATGATTAAGACTAGATTTGGGATTATTTAGAAGGTCAAAAGATACGCAAAACATTGTGTTGAAAATAAAGGATAGATTGAGGTATAAATATATAATTAACAAGTGTGTAATTCCTTATCTTTAGAAATTTGACTATTAAATATTTGGAAGGAGCAGTGCATTTGGGCAAACGAGAGGCAGTAACATTATGGGCTAAATCTAATTGAACTCTCGCGGTGGACCTCCAACAGGTCAGCATGCAAACAAGGATATGTTAAAAATGAGGCCCAAGAGCTCTTAGCCTTTCCTAAAATATTTGGCCCTTTTGACATCTTTACAGGCCACGGTTTTGGCTTGTGACATGGGCTGGTTAAGCCCAATTCAGCATCCGACCTTATACCCAGCAAAATACTAAAATCTATACGCCCTAACCCAAGCACACATGAATAATATGATTACATTAACTATGATAGGCTACAAGATTGAATTCATAAAATTATATTGTTTATTTGTTACAAAATGATCATAAGAAGATATTTAGAATTTCTGAACCTCAAATCCAATATTTCTCAACCGTATCTGCCCAATTTTTACAAAAGAAAACTATAGACCTAAGCTATTACACCAAGATTTTGAAAATTCTGAGTTTACAATAATAAGCCATCCTTTATACATACTGGACTTAGGTGTTACCAAATTAAATTGCTTCCTCTCATGTCTTTTGGAATCAAACAATTCAATATCAAACATCCAGGGTTTTAAATAATGAATCACCTATAATCTGAACTTCCTAAATACTTTTGACTGCAATGTGATGCTTCTCTCCTTTACACAAATAACAAATGTGCTTATAGGCTAAATGATTCTGAACACACGAATTTCACTTTTAGCAAGTAATATTGGGCAAATTAATAGCCCTACCAATGCAGTAAGACATGCTTATGTTCAGGAAACCAAACTTACCAAACAATCTTACTCTAGTTAATATTACTAGGATTTTTATCTAAAACAAAGACTATGTCAAGGAGATAAGTTCAAATATTGACCAATCAATTTACAAACAGACATAAAATCATGTAAGAGCAACAAACAGTCATAACTCCATATTAAAATAGAAAACTTTGATTATCCTAAAGATCAGAGTTGTACAGAATCATAGGGGGTGTACTAATTGCCAAGAAAACAACAGAAAACCAGAAAATAAGTCTCTGAATCAGCAGGAATATCAGCAAGGTAACAACTTCAGATCAAGGGCACAAATCCAACAGCTCAACCAAAGGAAAAAACTAGAAAATAAATGAAAACCTGAAGCTAAACTGACTTCTATTCCTCTTTTTTGCTTTGAAGAATTTGCAAAGTAAAAATTCAGACTGTTTTTCTTTCAACGTGAAGGGAAAATCAACCTATATGTGTGAGTGTCTTTTGTGTGTCTTGCTTAGAATTAGTGTATGTGTGAGGGAAGGAATGTTAGACCTTATATAGGAAAGGTGAGGGAATAATTCTAAGGAATGCAGTCCCTAAAAATAAGGAGAAAGGGCATCTTTTAAAACTGAATTGGACAATTGTTGGGCAGATGTCCATTCACATATTTACTCAAAAAATTTCAATCCTTTTAACCCCGAAATCTGATCTAATCTCTGGTTTTTAATTGCACTTTAGTCCCTTCTAGAGACTTCCCCAAACAACCAGCTGAGATTCCCTAATTTCCAAATCCCTTTGACCCCTTTAGCTTTTGTTAATTACACAGCTATCCAAGAAACTTAAAGGGATAAAAAGTCACAGCAAAGTAGGACAAAATTTGACTCTGACCCATTTTAGGTGATTAACCTTATTTAAACATATACTTAACTAATCAAAGTCAATTAATCTACAAACTTATCATATGAAGGAACACACTATCAGTCAATTGCCGATGAATCATTAACAAGAAATTCAAATGATAATTTAGCAAATTCAACTAAGTATAATTGAAACTAAGCCTAAACATGATGTAATTAACCTAAAACTAAACTATAATATGTAAAACAACAAACAAAACAAAAATCTAACAGTAAATCGTGCAACTAAGCAAAACGACCATGCAAAAAAGACGGATTACCTATTAACGACACCACTGCTGGCTTCAAACAATCCGGGCAGTGGTCGATATCGTCACATGAGCACTGATTCAAGCTTGAAGGGCAGAAATAGCGGCTGCATGACGAGTGTCTAGCGTATATAAAATTTTAACTCGTACTCTGTCAAATAATAGTATAGAAAGATGTCGAACCCACAGAGATTGGTTTATCTATTCTACAGATGTTTCTTGTTTTAGTTACTATTTGAGAAAATCAGAAAGAGTTGAGTTTTAAATTAACAAACTAAAAAAAACACGAATGGAGCAATAGAAAATATTTTTGTTTTTCACAGATATAATAAAAAGGTGTTGGGATCCTGACTTCACTTAATATTTTTATTATATAGTAGATACATTTTGTCACGACCCGAATTTCCGACCATCGGGAGTCGTGATGGCGCCTACTATCGGAGCTAGGCAAGCCAAGCCTTTTAAACATTTCCTGATTTCACCTCAACAAGAACAATATAAATATAACGAGTCATTTAAATTAAAGCGGAAGTCTCTAAAACACAGATAACTGAAAAAAACCCAAAATGCGGAAGTTTAACATTTCTCTACCCA